GGGTGGAGAGGGAGGTGGGAGGGGGGATCGGGATGGGGAATACATGTAAATCCATGACTAATTCATGTCAATGTATGACAAAAACCACTACAATAGTGTAAAGTAATTAGCCTCCAACTAATAAAAATAAATGAAAAATAAAAAAAATTTTTAATGAAAAAATATACAAAAACTCATACAACTCAACATCAAAAAACAAACACCCTGATTTAGAAACGGACAGAGGACCTGAGCGGACGTTTTTCCAGAGCAGACACACACATCACACAAGGGCACACCTCGCAGGTTTCACAATCGAGCGTTAAAACAGTCACATATGATAAAAACAGATCACTATCACAAAACAAACACAAGTAATGACAAGCATATTGTAGAAAATTTTAAATGAACAATTTATTTGCTTTACTTACCAACTGGTAAATAACGATCCAAAGCTACAAAGATACAATGTTTGCCTTTGCATTTAAGGCAATTTCATTTCTCACCACAGTTACTTTTTCTGATGTTAGAATCAGCATCTTCTGTGTCTTCCCTGTATTTAATTGAACATTTATGTTTGTCCGCTTAGGAACCATACTTTCTTCATGAACACTGAAGCTCTATAGTATAAAATATCATTGTCTTCATATATTTGAGTAGTACCGATCCCGGTTTTGAAAGTCTCTATGAGCATATCTTGCATAGGTCTTGTTATGAGGGATCCTTCCAAAAGGTTCATGGTCATTGAAACAAGACTCAAACACTTCATCAACAGCTTTCTGAGCTGCCTCTTTGCTAATGTTCCTAACAGCCAGGATAGAGCGGATGGCTCTGTCTCGCACACAGGTCTAAGGAGCAAGAAAGTATATAGTGTTAATCTTATATGAAAATTTACTCATGAAATAGTAACACTTCACATAATGTCTGAACCACAGTCAAAATTAATTTTCTTTCATGTTATTTTATTAATTTCTATCAGTCCAAAAAATAAAGATTCAATTATGGAGCATGTTTAGCTCAATCTAAAATTAGTGAGGTATAAGAAAGACCTCTTCCTCTCCTCCCTTCTTCTTTTCTTTCCTAATGATGATAAGTTCTAGGCAGTATCTGCTAAACAGTAACTCCCAACTTGAAAAATCATTAAAAAAAAGTCTATAAATAAGGTTCTGATTGAATTTTTTTAACTTGAATAAATCTGAAATATACTGCTGTACCTTTCTCTCTATTTTTCATAGCTGACCATTGCTGGATAACTTTTCCTCTGAGAGGGGCATCTCCCCTGGAGGCAACAGGAAACTACACAAAATTTGAAGGTTTTCTAATTTTTCAGCAGGGAAAAAAAAAAAATCAAACAACTTTTTTTTGGGCACATGCTATACAAAAGCTAGGACTCTTCTCCCCCTGCTCCCACCTATCTTTTATCCTATTGCCAGCTGTATTCATCCACTGCTACTTCCAACCCAAGGTAAAAAGAGGAGGGAATTTCTCTTTCAAAGACTCTCGGCCCCAGATCACATTCCTTGAATGCATTAGCCTCTTCTTGGGGGCGTGCTGATGTGTGCCCGGCTTCCACTCTTTCCACTGAGAGTCAGAACACACTGCCCGTTCACATGCTGCCTGAGCTGACTTCACAGAAGAGCAGGGATTGGAGGGCTCAGAAGACATGTGCTCAGGACGAGTCAGTGTCACAGGTGAGCTTGGCACAGGCTGAAGGCCTAACGGCCTTAGCCGAGCAGTCACCCTTCCCAGGCCCCAGGTCTGCCTTCCAACTCCCGTTCACTGAGTTCTCGACTGCTCTCAGTTCACTGTGACGTTTCGCCTTCCTCCCCAGAGCTGAGCTGAGTTACTCCACCAAGGACCTTCCTGTTGCTTCAATCCTGTCCTTTCTACATCTGGTTGAAACTGCTCTCCTGATGCCCACGTACATCGCAAATTGGCCCAGCAACCTCTTCCCACAGAGAAGCTCTGACCAGCCTCTCTCCTCAGTGTGGACACAGAGCCCCTTGGTTGCCGTGGGAAGAACTGCTCACATCCTTCACCAGTCCGTCAGTTCTGCATTTCCTCTCCCCATGTCCATCTGTGGGTGACCTTAAAAGCTTCCCAGCAGGATTGGTCTTGCCTATAGTTTTCATTTTGTTTTGTTCACAAAATCTCTCAGCTCAGTCCTCCATAATGAAGTCTGTGCCAATCCAAAGCATCGCTGTCACATCACACGGCCTTACGAAGCCGCACGAATACACACTGCACTAAACTGCAGTCTCCGTTCTGACACGTATTGCTTTTTTGTCTCAAGAACAGAAGTCCAGGACTGTTAGAAGTAAGACAGGCTGTGATTTCATTTCCATTCATTATCTACCCCCATCCAAAATGACCCCATGCGAGATAGCATAGCTCTTTTTGCTGCGAAAATCTCCCAGTCACAGAGCTTGCCCATAATTATAAAACACAACTGAATTCCCTCTATTGGATTAAGTGATATACATGTTGTATTCTTTTCCAATAATAGTTCTTTCACATTTCAAATACTAAATGTACTTCTCATTTCTCTATTCATTATTTCCACTCATAGCACTCTTGACAGTTAAGTGGTTTCATATGTTAGTTTTTACCTGATGGTGTTGTTTTAATCCAAAATGCAACCTGAATATTTCATTTAAAAGTGAGCAGTCTCCACTAAGGTTAGCAGCTCGAACCTATCACAAGACAGAAGGCAGACAAAAAGAAAGTAAGCACCTGTGCTCTATACATTTATATCAACTGATTTTTTTTATTATAAAAGAATATAAAATTGGCATATTTTTCTGAAGACAGAGTATCTGTAAGATTTTTTTTAAACTCTATTGACTTAAGAAGTTCTTTAGAAAGATGGTAATGATAACCCTATATGCAAAACAGAAAAAAAGACACAGATGTACAGAACAGAGTTTTGGACTCTGTGGGAGAAGGCGAGGGTGGGATGTTTTGAGAGAACAGCATCAAAACATGTATATTGTCTAGGGTGAAACAGATCACCAGCCCAGGTTGGATGCATGAGACAAGTGCTGGGGCCTGGTGCACTGGGAAAACACAGAGGGATCGGGTAGAGAGGGAGGTGGGAGGGGGGATCGGGATGGGGAATACATGTAAATCCATGGCTGATTCATGTCAATGTATGACAAAAACCACTACAATAATGTAAAGTAACTAGCCTCCAACTAATAAAAATAAATGAAAAAAATTAAATTAAATTAAGAAAAGAAGTTCTTAAGAAAAAGAGCAGAGGGCGTCCCTGGTGGCTGAGTGCTAAAGAATCTGCTGCCAATACAGGAGACGTGGGTTCGATCCCTTGTCCAAGAAGACCCCATGTGCCGTGGAGCAGCTAATCCCACGCGCCACAATTACTGAGCCTGTGCTCTGGAGCCCAGGAACCGCAACCACCAAGCCCTTGAACCATGACCACTGAGGCCCACGCTCTGCAATGAGAGAAGCCACCGCGATGAGAAGCTGGTGCGCCACAAGTGGAGTGTGGCCCCTGCTGGCTGCAGCGAGAGAAGAGACGGCACGGCAACGAAGATCCAGCGCAACCAATAAACAAACAAACAATTACCGAACTCAGAAAAGCATTAAAAAAAAAAAAGACCAGACATCTATGAGCTACGCTACGAAACACCAAATATACTGAAGGGAATCACCTCTTCAAAAGGGGTTTTCAAAATGTTTCTCTGGAACTTTAATGACAGAACTAATTTCTGTTCGAACCAAAAGTCAGAGTTGGACTTCTGAGTTAAAGATTATGCCCTCTATAATCTTTACAGATACTCTGGTCTCACTTCTAGAAATGACCAAAAGGACTTCAAGAAAGCACTCTTCCAAAGACCTACAAACTGATTTTCAGTGTGAGCATAAAACAGAACACATCAGTACCTAAGACACTCAGGCACACAAACCTCCCAGGCCTCCTAGCCCAAACCACTGACGCGCTCTTAGACCTTCCCTTAAACCCATGTAAGTTCATGACCTTCCTCCAAGGCCTCAGTTGGCCTATGAAAAATTAATGGGTACAAGAATCAAGAACATTCCAAACTGTTCATGCTACGAATATGACAGCCTGAAGGTAGTACCTATCTTCTAACTTGCTGTGTCTTTAAGGTAAGAAGCAGCTTTGTGTGTGTGCTCGGTCATGTCCAACTCTTTGCAGCCCCATGGACTGTAGTCTGCCAGGCTCTTCTGTCCATGGAAGTTTCCAGGCAAGAATACTGGAATGGGTTGCCATTTCCTTCTCCAGGGGATCTTCCCCACCGAGGAACAGAACCCACCTCCTGCGTTGGCAGGCGGGTTCTTTACCACTGAGCCACCTGGGAAGCCATCTCATAGGATTAATAGAATACNGTGATTGTGGTTTTCATTCTGTCTGCCCTCTGATGGAGAAGGATAAGAGGCTTATGGAAGCTTCCAGATGGGAGAGACTGACTGAGGGGGATACTCGTTCTGATGGGCGGGGCCATGCTCAGTAAATCTTTAATCTACTTTTCTGTTTGATGGGTGGGGCTGTGTTCCCTCCCTCTTGTTTGACCTGAGACCAAAACTATGGTGGCGGTAATGAAGGTGATGGCGACCTCCTTCAAAAGGTCCCATATGGACTCACTGCCGCGCTCAGTGCCACTGACCCTGCACCAGGCCACCGCCACCCACACCTCCGCCAGAGACTCCGGGACACTCACGGCAAGTCTGGGTCAGCCTCTTGTGGGCTCACTGCTCCTTTCTCCTAGGTCTTGGTGCACAAGGTTCTGTCTGTGCCTCCAAGATCTGTTTCCCAGTCCTATGTAAGTCCTGGCGGCTCTATGGTGGGTTAATGGCGACCTCCTCCAAGAGGGCTTATGCCAAACCCAGGTCTGCTGCACTCAGAGGCCCTGCCCCTGCAGCAGGCCACTGCTGACCCGGACCTCCTCAGGAGACGCTCAGACACGGTTCCGGCTCAGTCTCTGTGCGGTCTCTGGGTACTGGTGCACAAGGTTCTGTTTGTGGCCTCCAAGATCTGTTTCCCAGTCCTGTGTACGTTCTGGCAGCTCTGTGGTGGGGTTAATGGCGACCTCCTCCAAGAGGGCTTATGCCAAACCCAGGTCTGCTGCAGCCAGAGCCCCTGCCCCAGCGGCAGGCCGCTGCTGACCTGTATCTCCACAAGACACACTCAAACATTTAATATCATCTTAAATGATCTGTATAGCTACTAGCAGGCTGCAGATGACAGAAAGGAAATGTCTGAAAGCTCAGAGACTGGCGCCAGGCCCTCGCCCACAACATGCACTCTGAGATAACACTGGCACGAGGTGAGTTCTCCCGGGCCACAGAACGACGGACATGAACCTTGGAGAAAGGCAGGTTTCCGAGCAAAGCCGTTCAAACACTCGGGGCAGGTCTGGCTCAGTCTGTGTGGGTCTCCTGGTGCACACGGCTTCGTTTGAGCCCTGCACATGTCTCTGGCAGGTATGGGCTTTGATTTCACCCCTCCAGCCGTCTAGCAGGGGCTTCTCCTTTGCCCTTGCACAGGGGGTATGTTTTTTTGGCAGGCATTCTCCTGTTGACAGTTGTTCAGCAGCGAGTTGTAATTTTAGAATTCTCACAGAAGATGAGCGCACGTCCTTCTACTCTGTCATCAAAGACAGGCAAAAAGATAGGACGCTGAAAGAGGAACTCCCCAGGTCGGAAGGTGCCCATATGCTACTGGAGATCAGTGGAGAAATAACTACACAAAGAATGAAGAGATGGAGCCAAAGAAAAACAACACACAGTTGTGGATGTGATTGGTGATGGAAATAAAGCCTAATGCTGCAAAGAGCAATATTGCATAGGAACCTGGAATGTTAGGTCCATGAATCAAGGCAAATTGGAAGTGGTCAAACAGGAGATGGCAAGAGTGAACATCAACATTTTAGCAATCAGTGAACTAAAATGGACTGGAAGGGGTGACTTAACTCAGATGATCATTATATCTACTACTGTGGGGAAGAATCCCTTAGAAGAAATGGAGGAGCCTTTACAGTCAACAAAAGAGTCCGAAATGCAGTACTTCGGTGCAGTCTCAAAAATGACAGAATGATCT